ATATTATTATTATCTTTATAATAATATTAATTTAATATTATTATTCATAGAATCCTTTAGGGTAAATTGAATAAAAAATATATTTTATTCTAATTCATATTTTAGGAAACTGGCTTTTTATAAACTTTACAGAAATTACATGTTGCGTCTTTGTGGTTATATAATAAATAGTTTTTGTCTTTTTTCTTTTTGAAAATTTAACAGATCGTGTTCCTGTGGTTGCATTTTTATAACGAGCAATGTCTTTAATGCAATCACAGGGACCCATGTTGTTTATTTATTTAATAACCAAACTCGTTAAAAAAATGCAACCATACGGACCTAGATCATAAAAAAAATGCAACTACAAGGATGTAATTCGTTACCACAAAGACACACCCGTTAAGTTTTCAAAAATGAGATAAGGACCTTTAGAAACATCTAACTGTATGTAATTTACTCAATACTTTATTTAAGGAATGTATTACATATTTAATACATCTAAAGGAGCATATTATGTATTTGGGGGGTGTTTGGGATTGCTTATTTGAAACAACTTATGCTTTTGTACAAAAACACTTATCAACTTATTATAAATCATAAGGATTTAACTTCTTCAAAACTTTTTATTACCGGTTTGGCACCGTATAAGTTGTTTATCCAAACACTCGAAAGTGCTTATTACCGATGTCACATCGGGATAAGCCAATAAATTCTTTTTATAAGCAATCCCAAACACCCCCTTGATACAGTGGAGAAGATATATAATAACTTTATGAACAAAACATAAAAACTAAAAAATCTTTTTAATTTTTTTTATTATAGACATCAAAATAAAATTTATAAAAGCACAGTACTTTAAATCAAAGAATAAGTTTCACCCAAGACGGTAGAGTTTCCAACTCTTCTTTTGTCGTTGAGTAAATTGCGTTTTTTTGTCACCGTGGTTTGTTACAAATTACAGATTTCATCGTTATGGTTTCGAAATTGTTGTTTTCTTCTTTATGATTTACAGTTAATTTCTATTTTCGTGTTTGACGCTGAACACTACCTTTTAAATATAAGGGACTAAATTAGAAATAAATTGTAAACCACATACACGCAAAGAAAATAAAGTTTAAATCATAAGAACAAAAAGGGTAAAAATTATAAACCATGGGATGAAAATTGTAAATTTTAAAATTACAAGGATGAAAATAAAAATTTTTAATAAATCACAGGGACTAAAAACGTAATTTACTCTTTATCCTTTAAAAAGGTGAAGGACTCCATTGTAAAATTAAGAAATATGGAGGGTCAAATATTGTATACGATGAAACAAAAAGCTAATAATGAAATTAAAAAAAAGGTGGAGTTACAAAACCCTAGCGCCAGAGGAAGCAATCCTCCTCACACCCAGATCCCCCCATCCAAAAAACCTTCGACAGAACACCACCATAAATCTATAATCGAAGGAAAACCCAAAGAAACGGTTCAAAATCCATTCATGGCGATGGCAAAGTACGATCTGACACCTCGAATTGCCCCTAATCTTGACAGGCATCTAGTGTTTCCGTTGTTGGAATTCACTCAAGAACGCGAGCTTTACCCAAACGATCAAATCCTCAAAGCTAAGATCGAGCTTTTGAACAATACTAATATGGTTGACTACGCCATGGATATTCATAAGTCTCTTTACCACACTGAAGATGTTCCGCAAGGTAGTGAGATTTATTTTCATATGGTTCTGTTGGTGTTTTTCAGATTGTTTCTTTTGTTATATACGCTGGGTTGGGGGTTTCTTTTGAATCCCTTGGTTGAAACAACGAGAAGTGTTACAGCTTGATATTTAGATGTCAAAAACCTAGTACTTTTGAACTATAAAATTGGTTGCTTCAAATCAGTACCAATGTTATTCCATGAAGAAAATATTTATGTGGAAATTTAGAATGTATATCTAAATGGCATCCAAATTCTGAAGGTAAATTGTGGGCACTTCTGTTGAGCAAGGGGTTATTATATCAGCAAACTTGTGTTAATGTGCACGAGTATCTTTGAATGCGGTGCTTGTAAAAAGAATTATTCAATTCAGTCCAAACAAGGTAAACTAGTAAAGGATGATTTTTCTAAGCCCAACAGTGATTCCATTTTGCTATAAATTGAGCACGGACTGTTTGTTATCAAGTTAATGTAATTTATGTGGATTTTTTTAGTTTGACCTCAGGGTTTTATGGGGTTTTTTTATTTTTGAGGTTCTATATGCAATTTGTGTTGGGGGCTGTTATGGTTGGTTTTCCATCAAGTTCCGGATGGATCAAGCTATCTGTGTAGGTTAAATAGTCCATATAGTTTGGGAAGGTTTTTGTTTGAGAGGGTCTTTTTCATAGTTGGAAGGAGCGTGATCTCTAATTGGTAGGGGCAGGTTTGGAAAAACTTGGCTTTCTGCATAACACTCCTCCTATAAGCGTACTGAATAAGCCACTTTTTATATCATTAATCCGCCACTAAACAATCGTGTATAGCCGGCCGAATAAGTTGTGAGTCTCATTAAGCTGCTAACGAGCAGCTATGAGTTGTATGTACATGAGTATGCTATTATTGAACTTATTATCAACTACATCAGGCTCGCTTGCAAGCCATTGAGTGTGTTCTTGGGGTCTAAAAATATTAATATTTATGTTGAATGAATGAGTGGATGTTTTTAGCTATTTACCTATGTTTTTTTAATGTTGTGGGTACTTGTTATTAGATATGGTGGACAGGAGAGTAGAGGTAGTTGCAAGACTGAAGTCTCTGGAGGAGGCAGCAGCTCCATTGGTCACATTTTTGCAAAATCCAAAGGCAGTTCAGGAGTTGAGGGCTGACAAGCAGTATAACCTTCAGATGCTCAATGATCATTATCAGGTACCTCTTATTCATTGGAATTTTTACTGTTCTCTAGTAGATGGAAACTGTATTTTTTGCACTATAGGTGTTGAAACAACGCAATGTGATCTAATAATTCTTTGAGGTCTATTAGAAAGGTGAAATGTTACATCATTCCCAGAAGTCGTTGGGATTTTGGATTTTCTAACTGCGTACTTTTAAGTTGGTTCTGAAGAATATATGACTGTACAAATTAGGTGAGAATTCTGTAGGCTAATTTGAGGGAGTAAAGAGTGGTTGATCTCCTAGATTTATTTTATTGGATTTCTCATCAGCATATTTTAGAAAAACTTACGGATTTTCTTGATTATTTTGGTTTCAGGTTGGATTTCTGCAGCTTTAGGTGACCCTTAAAATTATTGTAATAAGAATGCTTCATAAGTTCATATAAGTATTCACATGGTGTTATAGACAATACACTCTTCCTGTACGTTTAAGAGGTTCAACTTTTTAAATAGTCTATAACATTACAAATAGATATCTGTGATTTCAAATGCATTTTATTCGAGTTTCCCATAAACTTGTCGATTGTACTGATATCTCTTCATTGTGACACCATCCCTAATCCATTTTGAGTATGAGTCATGAGTCCCCTTAGAACTCCTTGGTAGTGGGTTGGTAATAATCTCTCACCATGGTTTTAGTTGATTTGAGGTCATCGGGCGAATCTGTAGCTTTGCACCATGGTGCGTCATTAAGTGTTCACTAACTTAGCGTTATGTTGCATAATGCCTATCTGAAGTGCCCTGCTATTGTTATGCAACAATTTTCAGTTAGATCCTGAATGTTTGTTATTGGGTTTTGAAGTCTTCTTGCTTATTCTGCTTATATTTGTAACTTTTTATGTCCAATCAGATTGGTCCTGAGCAGATAGAAGCCTTGTATCAGTATGCCAAGTTCCAGTTCGAGTGTGGGAACTACTCAGGAGCAGCTGATTACTTGTACCAGTACCGTGGCTTGTGCACCAATGCTGAAAGGAGTCTGAGTGCCTTATGGGGAAAGTTGGCGGCTGAAATACTGATGCAGAACTGGGAGATAGCCCTTGAAGAGCTGAACCGATTGAAGGATATTATAGACTCAAAGGTCTGTTTCATGCATCTCTTTTTTGTTGATTTGTTTGCTTCCTCTTTGGAGATGCTAATGAGATTACTTCTTCAGAACTTTAGTTCTTCTCTGAATCAAGTTCAAAGTCGGATATGGCTGATGCATTGGAGTTTATTCATCTTCTTCAACCATGATAATGGAAGAACACAAATCATTGACTTATTTAATCAGGACAAGTATGTTATCTAAGCTTATTGATCATTGCATATGTTTTGTTTTGTTGTTTGTATTCAATTTAAATGTACTTGATGATAGTTGCATCCCACTCTTCTTTCTTACTCTAAACTTCTTTCTTTCTATTTTGGCAAGAAAGTAATCACCTAGCTAGCTTGGATTGAGCAGACTTTAAGCGGAAGTATAAGATTTCATTTAAATACGTAAACACATTGTATTTTTAAAGTATGTAGACATATAAGAACTAAAATTTTGAGTTTATTATTTGATACACATACTTTATTGAAACTAGTTTCATGCTTTAATGATACAAATGCTCAGAATTTTTTGGGAAAATTCTCTCCAAGTTGAAAAACGTTGATTGATGAACACATGGTGATCAAAGTTGATAGATCTCAGTGGGGGATGCTTAACTCTTAGGTGGCCGATTAAGTGGCCCTAACTAATCAAAGTGATTGATATAAGCTGGGATTTCTAGATAACTGTGTTGGCATGGTCTAGTTGTTTCTAATAACGAACTTATCTCTTCTAGGTATTTAAATGCCATTCAAACAAATGCTCCACATCTTTTGCGCTATCTTGCTACTGCATTCATTGTCAACAAGAAGAGAAGGCCTCTATTCAAAGAGTTCATTAAAGTCATTCAGCAAGAGCAGCACTCCTTTGCTGATCCAATTACAGAGTTTTTGGCATGTGTTTACGTCAATTTTGACTTTGAGGGGGCTCAAAAGAAGATGAAGGAGTGTGAGGACGTAAGATGTCTTTGTTTCCTTTCCTTTTCTTTCTTTCTTTATATATATGTGTGCGTATGTGTGTGTATGTATATATATATATTTATATATATATATATGGAGTTATTCCTTTCTAGAACATTAAGGTTGCTGTGTTTGTTTTTGCTTATCATAAAGAAGTGATTCTTGCTAAATCTTGGATATCGTACTTACAGGTGATACTAAATGACCCGTTTCTGGGCAAACGAGTTGAAGAAAGCAACTATACGGTGGTGCCATTGAAGGATGAGTTTCTTGAGAATGCTCGTCTTTTCATATTTGAGACCTACTGCAGAATACATGAGCGCATTAACATGGGGTACAAACTCATTCTATTATATCCTGCATTCCATTATATTCTGGAGATCCATTCTCTTTTTTCTGTTATATTCTAGAGATCCATTCTCTTTTTTCTTTTCCTTTTTAGAGGGTGGGGGTGGGCTCGATTACCTTTTAGGGTTCAGGGGTGCATCTGCAATTCTTCAGGGGTTAGGAGTTGATGATATCCCCTAATTGTTGATCATGAACATATAATAATGACATTGGTCTCTTGAAGTAAGTGGAGATATATAGATTAAGAAAATTGTTTAGCTATTTGGTATATACCAAAAGTACCCTCTAACAAAGACAGGCTAAAGGAATCATGTATGCTGAAATCAATACTATCGTTCTATATATAATGATAATATCAGGTAAATGTGTAAGTTGAAACATAACAACTTCTCAAAATGGGTTGCACCTTTTATGGGATGGAGAGATAATAAATTTGATCAAGCCTAAAAATCCAAGAATTGTGTTCTTGACTAGAGACTGCTATCAAATGCCTGCTTTGTTCATGAGTATTATGTTGTTGGGCGGTGAATGTAAATTTGTGGATCTTGTTATAACTTGGTTTAATCTCTTTCCAGGGTGCTTGCTGAGAAACTAAACCTAAACTACGAAGATGCTGAAAGGTGGATTCTGAATCTCATTCGAACCTCCAAGCTGGATGCTAAGATCGACACCCAAACTGGAACGGTTGTAATGGAACCCAATCATCCGAATGTGTGAGTACAAAAACATATTTCACAATATGCTGCCAATATTTTCAAAATTTGTGCTTGTTAGGACATCAATCCGTCCTTGGACAACCTAGTAGAGAGTATTGGACAATCTGATAGATAAACCTTATTAGCTTTTTTATATGGCATTCTTGAAAAATGTAACTATAAAAAGGCTAATAAGACGATTTGTTTATTGTATCCTATTAGATTGCCCAATTCTTTAGGTTGGCCAACTTCAATGGCATTTTATAGGATACAAAGAAGTTTGTTCTAAAACTTAAGAGGTTTCAAGTACTCTGTTAGGACGGCTGAGCGTCCTAGGAGACCCATTTTCTTGTAATGTTTTATCAATTCATGCGGATTTTCATCTTGTATTGCGTATATTTATATGTCGTTTCATCTCTTTCTTTAACAGGTATGAGCAACTTATCGACCACACGAAAGGACTCTCAGGGCGAACTTACAAGTTAGTTACCCAGCTCTTGGAAAACTCTCAGCCACAAGCTGCTCGATGATTCTCTGCATGCATGCATGCATGCGTGTTTTGACTCTTTATTTTTCGTGTTTTGAAGTTGAGCAATGAGCAGATTCATGTTCATTTCTTTATGAAAATTGAGATTTTGAACCGGGAATTGTGGTAAACGAGTAGGTTGATAGGAACCAAAGTTGGAACTCGTTAATTTTATGTACGATCGGCATAGTTTTGTTTCGTAATTTGTTGCACAAATTGGTTTGTTGCTTGTTTTCCATGGACATGAAACCTAAGTTTGTGGCATTTGGTAATCCAATCTTCAAATGAAACTCTTAACATTAAGAAGAAATGGAAATGAATCTGACCTTAACCAGGGGCAAATTGAATGCACAAGGGTAGGAGGGAGTTGCCCCCAACAGATAACTTATAGCTAAAATTTGTATTAAATTATCCAATCCAACCCTAACAAAAGTGTATTGTTTTTGTAGGTAAATGATAAAAAGTGATTATGTTGATTTAACTGATTTTTAGGGTTTGTTATTGGTTTATCTTTTTGGTCTTTTATGTAGCTTTTGGTATATAGATATGACATAATTGAACAAGACAAGAGGGTAGGACTAGACATGATCGGATAAGATCGAAAACAAAAGTGGCTGAGGTTTGGTACGACTAGGACCAGATATATGATTGAATAAGACAAATTGCCCCCAAAAGTAATTTGATGATTTTATACATCATATAATAACTATAATTACCACAAATAAAGTAAATCATTTAATAAAATTTAAATTATAAATATTTTTACACAATTTTCATATATAAAAATGAGAGAAATTTGATATGATTGATAGTAGTTCGAAAAAACCCGATTCGTACAAACGAAAGTTTATGTTTTATTTGGTTTGAAAAATCCTTATCAATTGGCGAAGGCACGATGAATATTGTTGCAACAAAAATGGTTGTGGAAGTAGAGGCATTGGTGATTGGTGGACGATGGTGGTGGTTGTCAACAATGTGGAGGGGTAATAGTGACCGATGTGGTGTAGGTAGTAGTGGTGGTAAACATGGTTGAGGTGGTGTTGGTTATGGTAGAGGCAGTGGTGGTGGTGGTCATGGTATGGAGGTGGTGTTGGTTGTGGGAGGTAGTGGTGATGGTCATGATGTGGAGGTGGAGGTGGTGGTGGTCGATGGTACCAGTGGTGGTGGCGATGGTGGTCAATGACACATGGTGGTTGTGGAGGACGTGAAGATGGTAGATAGTGGTGGTGGTTGACAGTGGCGAATGAGGTAATTGAAATTGATGTGGTGGAGGTAGTTGTAACTGATATGATATAGGTAGTGGTAGCCGATAGTGGTGGTGGCAGTGTTATGGTGGAAGTGGAGGTGGTAATGAATGTACTAGTGGTGAGGGTAGATTAGTAATATTTTAGTTTTTGTCTCATTCTTGTCTCATCTTGTTCCACCTATTTTGATGGAACAAAAAAGCCTTTTTGTTCCACATTATTTCACCTTGTTCCAGTTCTTGTCTCTGTCTCATGTCGCATCAAACATAGAACAGTGAGTTCTTGTCCTGTCTCATGTTGTACCAAGCTGGGAATAGTGAGTTTTGTTCCGTCCCGTCCTGTCCTGTCCTGTCTTATGTACCAAACCCAACCTTATTATCCGATTTCTTTTCATGAGACAGGTTGGGTTTGGTACATGTCCTTGGCCTCTTGCCTATGGATTTAGATTTCTTGCTGCTGACTAATGATTTATATGTTTATTAATTATCAAGCATTTTGATTTATTTTTTACTCGTATGCAACAACTTATCCAATAAACGCTAACCGTAGTAAGAATCGTCACCATCGTTTACCGGGTAAGACTCTCGGTTATTGTCTTTGCTCTTACCGGATAAGATCTTGGTCTTTGTCATATTTCATCCTTAACCTAATGTGACTTGGTAAACGCTTACCTAAGTAAGTGTTTGATAAACGGACCCTAAGTAAATTAAAATAAAATATTTAAGATGATATACAAGAACCAAAAGTTTCAAAATACCACCAACCAACCAACCACCCTATTCGTTGAATTTTGACTTCAATTCTGATAAATTAATTACTTGTTTACTTAAAATAACTGAGCTTAATATTCTAATTTAAGCTTTAACATAAAAATACTAAGATTTCAAATCAATGTTATTTACAAATATCCCGATAATAATTCTCTTAATTGATCAAATCACAAAAATGTATCCCATGATGTAACATAGTTTTTTTCATGATGATATACTTGCACAAACTAATAAAAGTCCGAGTCTGATTGCCATATTATGAGAATCATAATTTCATTTGGGGTTTGGAGCTAAAGTTTGCGCATGGGTTCATTATCTGATGCAGAACCGATGCGAGAGGGAGAATCAATATGGGAGAAGCGRGGATTGAGAGCTTTCAAGAACTCTTAGGGGTTGCTTGGCAGTTGCTGAATGACTTGGTGCAAGATGATTAAATGGTCAAAATGATTAAGAGACTCTTACGATATAGTACAAAATGAAATATGGTTATTTGCTAATTGTGTAGAATGAAATTAGGGCACTTTTAATGGTTTAGGGAGGCCTAAGATATAAAATCATTAATAGGCAAACTTTTTTTTTGGCAAACAAGATTCACCTCTTAATGATTTAAAAATTGTCTCTTAATGGAACTATTAAGAGGTAGACAAACAGCCTTAAACTCTGTTTTTGAAGAATGAAAAGAAAGGAATGAAAGAGATGGAAAAATAAATAAAATAAATGTATTATTGAAAACTTTAAGGAGAGAGATAAAAAAAAATAGATGATAGCTTTCTTCGAGAATGTGGGGAGAAAGGGAAGGAAATAAATAATAACACTTGAAACAATTTATAACTGTTTTGCACAGCAAAGAATTAATATTTTCTATTACAAATATCAAATCAGAAAACTTTTCTAATAAAACTCAATACAATGATGCGTTTAATTAAAAACACACATTATATGGTGTTTAGAATTACTGGTGTAGATTTGATGCAACACCTAGAATCCAAAAACAATTCCTCTATCAGTGATCCAAACACGAACACGCTTAGATCTTCCACCCAGTGCTAGCTCAAGAATCATATATCTATATGTGTATTAGAGAAAAGAAAAAGGTTTGTTTTTTGTAATCTAAAAGATTGAATCAGTTCAAATTGATTTAGCCTAACACCTTATTTGTATGGTATGAATTATAGATAGACTATAATTCAAAATAAGGTTTAATAATTATCTGTAATATATAGTTATCTTAACCTTTTAATATAATTATACATATTTATATAGATTACACATTGTATTTATCATAATTACGTTTCAACACATATTTTCATAATTATCCTCCAAAATAATTATTATCATAATCAACTTGATTTAATCCTAGTTTCTACAAATGGAAGCAAATGTATTCTTTTGTGAGACGCTATAGGTTTACATACTCCAGTAGCATCCTTGTGTGACACGTGTTATGGTCTTATAATAACTTACGTTTTTTTTCTCAAATTTGAGAACACTACGTTAACTAGACGGGCATGGTGTCATCGGGGAATGCTCCATGCATGATTTGTCTCTCACAACGATGTTTTTGGGGTTGGCAATATGAGTTGGATTTGGAGTCACAAGTTAATAGAAGGGCAAATTGCATGAAAAAGTAACACTTTAATTTGATTCCTATTTTGGGTAACGTTTTTTCAAAACTTTCATTTTGGTACCTAAAATGTAAAGTTTTAAACATTTAGGTACTCGGGTAACCGATTGAAACATTAACTGGTTACCATGTTGATGCGGCGAGTAATGTGGTCTAACTCAGTATAAATTTTTTATTGAATTTTAAATTCAAAAGGTAAGTCAAATCACTCGCCACATCAGCATAATAACTGGTTAATTCTTCAACCAGTTACTCGGGTACCTAAATGTTTAGAACTTTACATCTTAGGTACCAAAATGAAAGTTTTGAAATTACGTTAAATAGGAATCGAGTTAAAGTACGTTACTTTTTCATGCAATTTGCCCTTAATAGAAGGCAAAATGCGTTAAAATGAAACAAAGTTTAGTTTAATTTTTATTTAGTGTAAAGAATGATTTTTTTTTCTCAATTACGTTACAATAACAAAGTTTTAAAATTTCTCAGCTAACGTAAACAGGTTTCAAAATTTTCTTATTTAATATAACATTTGTTAACGTGAATGTCAAGTTTTTTTTTTCTACTTGACACTTGTTCTTGTAACCCTTGTTGCCCACCATCATTGAACCCCCCCCCCCCCTTCTAAAAACCCGCATGTTCTTGAAACCCTTCTGTTCTTCCTGCACTAACGTAACATCATCCATCGACTCTCAACCACTGCCAAAAACAGAAGGGTGAAAATCCATGTCCAAGAACATACTGAGGGGCTGGGGTTTGCCGAAGAAACAATATCGAGGAAGAAACCATTTCAAAATTCAAACGCAAAAAAATGGACTACCAGTGTACTTATAGGATTTGTAGAGACGAAAACCAAAAAACAACCATAGACAAGATGCTGAAGATGTAATTCACTTTAAATTTAGGCATAAAAAGACGAAAATACCCATCATGTGAGGGGCGCATGATTGATTTAACAGAGCCTCTTTTGATGGTGTCAAGTAATAGGATCAATTTGGGTACCAGAACATGAATTTGAATCACCCATGTATTTTACAAATTATAGAGAGAAAAACCAAAAAGCAACCATAAAGAGTAAATAAAAATGTAATTCACTTTAAGGGTCGTTTACCAAACGTTTACTCACGTAAGTATTTACCAAGTCACATTAGCTTTTCAGATGAATATGGTAAGAACCAAAAATTTTACCCGATAAGATCAAAGGTAAGAACCAAGAGTCTTACCCGATAAAGGAGGACGACAACTCTTATGTTAGGGATTGTGTATATGACTAGATAAAATTGAAGAATCTTGTCGGAAAGCACTTTCCGAATACAATAATTGGACCCTATTAGCCTCGAGTTCACGAATTTTGTTTGAGAAAATTCTAGATTTCTCTTCTCGTTTTCAAAAGCTGTGAAAAACAAGATATATACCCAGATTCGCATTTTACATATTTAAATGAGAGCTCGATGGTAATTGACGGTTTATTAACCGAAGACATGTTCAGCGATAGCTGAAGCTTATCAGTTGTCGCTGATACCTGAAGGAGCAGTTATGACTTAGTAAAATTTCCTAAGTCCAAGAGGCGCTACCCCACCAGACTTGGAACCCCGACACAGGCGCTGCTCCTAAGACCTTGCAAGGGGGCGTGATCCCCCTTGACCCACGCTTTATAACGATCTAAGGTGATAAGGGCAACATTTGTAAGTGTGCACCACCTAAATTACGTATTTTTGTCTTATCAGCTTAATCGATCTCAAGTAAATCACCATTACACTAAAATACTTGATGGCACTAAAACCACCAACATCTTACCATGATTAGTGTTGACTGGGTACATTATTGTATATGATACCATTTTAGTAGATTAAAATTTTACCTGATAAATAAGTCATATTGTTCAATTTCACAAAAAAGGATAAGAGTACTGATAAATGGTTTTATTTTATTTTGGCGCGCACCTAATGAGGTCATTTCCTTTGTCGACACTCCACTATTAGAGGCAGGCGGCTGCTTTAATATACAACACGGTGGAGCCAAAAGAGGAAGCACCATGAACTATAACTCATGATCACTTTCGTTCCCAAATCCCAATCAAAATCAGCTTACAATCATCTCATCCTTAATCTTCCTCAATTGCGTTTCCAGGTATCATCAATTCTTCCTCCAATTATACACTTTGATGTTGATCGCACTTGAAATTTCGATTAAGATTATCGTGATTGTGTGTTTCATATCACTTGTTATGGTTGATCAGTCTATTTCTGGTTTAATTTTGAGAGATTGTTTGGTGTCAGCAGTTAACTGAAGGATTTTACGCTTTGAATTTTGATCAAACTAGTATTGTGTAGTGGCTCTCTTCCCGTAAAAAAAGGGTTAATGTTCATACGGATCTTAATTTTTTCTAGAAGAAATTCCTTCTTGATTTAGTAATAAAGTAGTGATGATGTTAAATTCGCTACAATTAGGTATCAGTTTTGCCTATGGCAAGAACTAGATCTCAGACTGTACCCCTCTTCTTTTTTCCTCAGGGAACAGAGGGATTGTATTTTTATTTAGGTTAGAAATGTGAGGTGTACATGAGGTAAAATCTTTTCTGGAAAATGAATTGGTCTTTGATGAATGTTTATGATTTCCTAATTTTGGTTGTTGGGAGTGTGGCCATGGTGGGGTTTCTGTGACTGGATGGTGGTCTATTGGAAGTTCTTGTTTCGGTGTTCTGGTAATGGTATCAGAGGCTAGATGAGGTACCACCCAGAAAGAAATTGGTACATATTTTGGAATCAAACAGGAAAATGGAGTCTCTAGACATTGATTTTTGATCAAATTTGTAGTTCAAGAAATTGATGAATACTAGTTAAATGGTGGAATTTAGTATTATTCTAAGCATTAATCTTGTGTATGAGCTTTGCCAAATTGTGGTGAATCATACCAAGTAACAACTTGCTGCTTATTAATCCTGCAGCGAACTCTTCAAATGGCTCGTTCTGCATTGGATGAAATGTCGGATTCTGGTGCCTTTATTAGAAGTCCTTCAACATTCCGTAGTTTCATCTCGCGAGATCCAAAATCTACTTTTCCAGCCGAGCCAGGAAGATATCATTTATATGTGTCGTATGCTTGTCCTTGGGCTTCGAGGTGCCTTGCCTACTTAAAGATCAAAGGACTTGATAAGGCCATCAGTTTCACGGTATCTTTACAATTTTTGGATCCTTGTAACATTTTTAATATTTAGGATAAACGTGGGTGTCTGGGCCAGCTTGTGCATCTCGGCTAATCCCACGGGGCACTATAAGTGGCCCTTGTTTGGTATGCTGCACAGGATGGGAAGAGACAGGACAAAACCTGTTATCCCATGTTGAGCTAAAGATCGTAGTTCTCGAACGAGCAACCGAAAAGATTCTGGAGCATCCTCATGGTGCGACAGTAAGACTAGGACAGGACTGGACTGAGTGGAACAAAATTACCTTCTTATTTCTATCCCACCGAAATTGGTGGAACAAAAACCAAGGAGATAAAAACCAAGGAGATGGGACAAGATTAGTAAATTATTAGACTACCCATGTCCAATTAGAACCCTATAACCTTGCCAATTTTTCCCCCCGCCTACCTCACTCTTGACCGTCCTATCCTATCTGCGCACCAAACGCACGTTGAGGGAACTCGAACTCATGACCTTTGGAGAGCAAATCCAAGGTCTTAGCAGTTGGGCTTCCCCCAACGTGCTGAATATTTTTTATATTTAGCAATTAAGTGTACATTTTGTTGCTAATGTCAGTCAGTCAAACCCATATGGGAAAGAACGAAGGAAAGCGATGAGCACATGGGATGGGTCTTCCCTGATACAGAAACAGAGCAACAAGGGGCTGCACCAGATCCTCTCAATGGAGCAAAGAGCATAAGAGCACTATACGAGCTTGCGAGTGGAAACTACTCTGGAAAATACACTGTTCCTGTATGTATACTCTGTTTTTCCTCCATTTAGACATCTATCTCAACTACCTTTTTCGCTCACACTTTCGCACAATCCGGTGGTCTTCATACATTTAGACATTTATCTCGACCCTCAAGTGTGTTTGACTGTTTGTACAGTTGATTTTTTATGATGGTTTTTGATGATAGGTTCTCTGGGATAAGAAACTAAAGACTATTGTGAATAATGAGAGCGAGGAGATCATTCGCATGATCAATACTGAATTCAATGAAATAGCTGAGAATCCAACCTTGGACCTCTACCCTTCTCATTTGCAAAGCCAAATCAATGAATTAAATGGCTGGATTTATAGTGGGATAAACAATGGTGTTTACAAATGTGGATTTGCTAAGAAGCAAGGGCCTTATGAGGAGGTATATTTTTGTGGTTTATGGTCATACTTCATACGGTTATTCTTTTTCAGCAAATTAAGCTGTTGTGCAAAAGTTATATTTGAAACTAAGTATCAAAGGGCCATTGGTTTGTCTTTATGTTGGATATGTAGGCTGCTAAACAATTATACGAAGCTCTGGATAAATGTGAAGAAATACTTGGAAAACAGCGATACTTATGTGGGAACGTTGTAACTGAGGCAGATATTCGTCTGTTTGTCACCCTCATAAGGTTTGATGAGGTATGTTGCTTCTCCTTTTACCTCTTAACCAACTTTAAAAAAATTTATTTGACTCTCTTTTTTACATGCTTTTCACAAGTGGGGGGGTTTTCACATGAACAACCACTCTACTCTTTGGTGTAGAGGTGAGATCTACGTAATTCTTACCCCCTGGACCCCACCTCCGGGTGTAAAATATTGGGTTCATTTGGTTTGGTTTGAAGTACAAAAGTTAGATATTGGAGTGTTTGGGTGGTTTAACCCTTTTTTCACATACAAGTCCGCAAGTGATTGCGGAATAGTTTGGAATGAAGTGGCCAAATCGGTCTAACCGTACCACAAAAATGTGGTCTCGTTTGACTGTCTTGGCGGTTTAGGCTAATTATGGGCTTTATCAAGTACTTGGTGTGCATGTATTTTATTACAAATATGGAAGAGAAACAGAAAGGGAGAGAGAGGTCAAAGAAACTTTTTTGACATGGATTCTCTATTCCTAATGGCTGTGCTACCGAAAATACTGTTAAAGAAAAGAGCAGACAAGTATGAAAATCTCCCTCTCGGTCTATGATACCTAAATGGAAGAAAAATTCGGATTAAACCCTTGTTTATCTTAACCTTTGGTTAATTTACTTCGTTGAAAGGGAGCAAAATTGTTCGAACCCTTATTCTTATTAGTCTTGATTTTATAATGGAAATTGTCTGATAATATTACGGAAAAGGAACAGACTTTATGCTTTCAGCTGTGTGATCTTGTTACCAGTGATTTTTCTTTTCTGCTTTCCAAGTTTTTGGGCTTGAAAACGGCACTGGTTTTGGGTTGTATTCATTAAAAATGAATAAATGAAAGCTTGGAAATGATGAGGGAGTGAAGTGAAAGTAAGTCGCAAGGAGTCCAAGCTTCAAAGGTCTATTGCAAATGCAAATGCATAGCTGTAAACAATATTAGGATTACTAAAGTGATCCCCACTCACATCATTCCTGATGTTTTTTATGAAATAGATACAAATTTATATACATATATACGAGCAGTTTGGTCGGTTTGTACAGTCTATTAAAAATACTAATGATTAAGATATTACCCCACATAGACCTCACTATACTTGTTGCTTGTTTACACACACTTCTTTGCTAATTGTCTCACTTGTATCCTTGTAATTTTTGTTTCACAAGCCTGGGATCCTAACAGAAACAGCCTCTCTACACCTTTGGGTAAAGGCAAAGTCTGTGCATATCTTAGGTGGCTAGCCCCGACCTATCTTTGTGTGGGATATGTTGGGTCTATTTGATTTGGTTTAGTTTTGAGTATAACAACAATGCATAAGCATATTCGTCACAGAGATTAAATGTGGTTATGTGAATTTAACATATGCTCCTCTGTCTCGAATTAAATGCACCCTTCTTGTTGTAAATCACAAAAACAAGAGCTTGTGTAATTCGAAATGAAGTATAAAATCATAAAATTTTGTGATTTGCTTTTAAAAGATGTCCCATTTGAGATTAACGAATCTTGAAACTTAGGTCTGAACCAGATTCTGTTAGTTTTGCAACGTCAAAAGAACCTAATTATGATTAAGCAGATACAAAAGCAGTTCATTTAATTAAATATCTAAAACCTAATTATGCCAAGTAATATGCAAATGAGAAATTAACTTCTATTATTTGGTACAATTACTTTATAAATGAACTAGTTCCTGTACAATTACTCATAAAGCATTGGAAAGAAGAAAGTTGATTTATCTCCACTTATTTTTTGAAATGCTTAATTCGATTAGTTGGTAGTCGATTATGAGGCCTATCTCTTAATGCTTAGGTGGCTGCTTAAGCAGGGATTGTTAGAACAAGACAACCCTACAAAGTTTCTGATGCTTAGAGTGATCATTGACTTGAAGTATCACTCTGAAGTAGCATTTTTCTCTTATTCTTGTTATGAGCTTATGAATGGTTCTTACCGTGTAAATTTTTAATAAGTCACCAAATTTCTTCAAAGTATGTTAAGAGTCTCATATTGGCTACTTAAATGTATTTTGGAACCTCCATCCTGTCTATAAGGACTCTTTGGGAGAGTAATTTGATAGGGTTCCACATATCTCACTTGATATCAGAGTTAATGTCTGTGTGCCTCGGGACCCGACATTCCAGGGCATATGTAGCCTCTATTGGAGGGGGCATGTAAGAGTCCCACATTGGCTACACTTGGACTTTTCTACTTAAATATATGTTGGAACCTCCATTCTCATTCCAATGGCTCATCTGATGGGGTTCCACATATTTCACAGTCTGTAAATGTTGTGGTATTAAGTGATTGCCATCTGTTGTATTATTTGGTAAAACAATGTATTTATGAAATCAATATACGTGTAGGTTTATGCGGTTCACTTCAAGTGCAACAAGAAACTTGTACGTGAATATCCGAATTTGTTCAACTATACAAAAGACTTGTTCCAAGTCCCAGGTATGAGTAGCACTGTTAACATGGAACATATTAAGAAGCATTACTATGGAAGTCATCCTTCCATCAACCCATTCGGGATCATCCCTCTGGGCCCTGATATCGACCATCTTTCACCTCACGATAGAGATCGATTTTCTAGTTAAATACAATATGTTGTGTGTATTATGACGTTCTCTAGCTGTCCTTTGTTTTGTTACAGCAAGTGTTGTTATGTTTTGTTTACAAGTGTTTTTCCATTATAATAAGAGTTTGCAAGTTGTAAACCAAACATCCCAATATATCTTAATTAGGTGTTGTTTGATGGGTTTTTCATTAAGTCTTATATGTATAAAATTATTTGTATGAATTAATTTGTCTGTATAAATCGATAATATTTTTGTTTGAAGTTTAACTAGTTACGGGTTTAGGCCTTAGGCCTTATGCAAAAAAACAAAACAAATCTATATATATATATATATATATATATATATATATAGAGAGAGAGAGAGAGAGAGAGAGAGAG